ATTTATTTATTTATTGTCAGGATGAACCAAACAAATTTTCTCATATCTTGAAACTAATTTCCTTTTAAACAATTTTAAAGGCATGCCTCCTACATTAACCTAGTACATTAAAAAAAAAAAAAAATTTCCTTTGGTGTTGGTCCTAAGAATTGAACCCTAAATCTAATTAGCAAAACAACACTTATTTACTAATAAATCCAACCTTAGCCTTAGTAATCTGGCCTTGTGCTTGTTAATATATAGCTAGCTTCAGCTTAAACTTGTAGACCATTCCAAACCAATGACTCTCTTATCTTTTCAAACAGTAAATATCTAGCCAAGTTCCTTACAGAATTGTTCTTTCTCTCATTAACTCCATTTTTCTGTGGAGTATAGATAACAGTTGACGGTACGTGTATGCCAATTTTAATTCTTCTACAAGTACTCTTAAAGTAGAGCTTTGAGGTATACTACTAAGTTCCATTATCTTATCTGAGCTCCTTTATGTGGACTTAATTACCACTCATCAGCTATAGCCTTAAAACATCACAAAAACTTCAAACGCTTTAGACTTCTTCTTCAAGAAGTAGACCCATCAGATCCTTCTGAAACCATCTACAAACAATAGAAAATCCATGTTGTCATTCAATGATGTGGTTTTTATTGGACCACAGACATATGGCATACACAACTTGCAACTCAAAGAATTAGTGGCCACTTTTTGAACTTTTAGTGGTGGCCTTTGGCCCCACTAAAAGTTTGATTTGCTGTAGTCATGAATCTTGAATAACAGTAATTATAATTTGCTCTTTACTCAATAGAACGTGTGAATCATTATGCATTTACTTTTTTGATATTTTATGGCTATTATAAGAAAACATTGAGCACATAAATCACACCAATAATAATGTCATAATATATGTGTGAAGGGCAAAATCATTTATTTTAAGGAAAAATTACACTTATGTGGTTTTGGTGAATGCATTCAACCTCTAAAATCACAAAAATATGCACTTAACCTTATTTGCTAAAAATATGCACTTAATTCCTTAAATCATGAAAATGTACTCTCACCCCATTGTGGTTTAAAAATATAAACTTGACCTTGTGTGTTTTGAGATTTCACCTTCAATATAAATATATTTTTTAACAGCAAAGATGAATATTATTTAATGGGATGGAATGGGTACCAAAACCTGTTGACATTTACATATAATCTGTCCGTATCCGAACATAT